GAGCCGAGATAGTGCCACTGTACTCCAACCTGGGCGACACAGAGAGACTCCATCTCAAAAAACAAACAAAAACAGCCTGGCCAACATGGCAAAAACTGTCTCTTTTAAAAATACAGAAATCAGCTGGGCAGGGAGGTGCACGCCTGTGATCCCAGCTATGTGGACGGTTGAGGCACAAGAATCACTTGAACCCAGAAGGTGAAGGTTGCAGTGAGCCAAGATCGGCCCACTGCACTCCAGGCTGGGTGACAGGGCAAGACCCTGTTTCAGAAGATAAACAAAAGCTCTAAACAGTTATTATAATGACGAATCAACTTTGGTCACAGAATATAAGAAACTTTTCACTATGGATCATTACTATCATGCTCACAATGAATGAACCAAGAACGTCACAGGGAAACAAAAGAGAAGGAAAAATGGAAAACTGGGTGGAAAGACTTTTATAGAGACAGGGTCTCACTCTGCCATCCAGCTGGAGTGCAGTGGTGTCATCATAACTAGCCTTGAACTCTTGGGCTCAAGGAATCTTCCTGCCTCAGCCTCCCAAGTAGCTGGGACTACAGGTGCACCTCACCACGCCTGCTCAATTTTTTTTTGTTTATTTGTTTGTAGAGACAGGGCCTATGTTGCCCTGGGTGCTCCTAGGCTCAAGTGATCTTTTTACCTTAACCCCTCCCAAGTGTTGTGATTACAGGTGTGAGTCACCATGCCCAGTCTACAAATAATTTTAAAAAGCAAAAAGTCTTAGTATTTCCATGACGCTGACGACTGCTGTGAAGGTCTGAGATTACCAAACCCTAAGTTATTCCTTCTTAGCCTTTTGTCTTCTGGGCACTGCCCTTTATGACTGGAATTTAGTTCAGTGTCGATAAGTGAGCTGATGTAACTACCAGAAAGATCCTATACACACTCCTTCAACAAGTGGGGCTACTCTGAAGTGCCATTATGGAACTCACTTTCATTCATGTGCTACAAGGAAGAAGGTAGTTAATTAGTCCTAAAAAATCACAAATTCAAGAGATAAAACTTACTGTACTCATTGTGCTCTTTGGTGCCAACCTACAGGAGAGGAAGTGATCTATACCAAGGTTTGCAGGGAAGTCAAATGTTCTCAACCTTTCATGCCGTCTGGTTACTCATCTGGCTTGCAAAAGAGTTTGGATCCGGACAGATTTCCAGTATTTTCAAGTCCTGAAAAACAAAGATACTGATTTGATAAATGCTGCCACTTACATCACTGAAACAAAGCTCAGCTCGATAAAGTACTGGTCCTTTCTGTCCCTAGGTTCTTTGCTGAATATGTTACGCAATGACATCCTTAATTCTATATTCATCTTAGGAAGCAAGCATTCTTGTTGCATATAGGACTTCCTGATCCCAAAGTCTGCAACTGTAATTATTATGCTCCCTCCTTTCTGGCTCCTGCCATCTCGGCAAGGTACTGTGCTAACGCCTGGGAAGCGGTGCAAGTCAGGACTGCCACACACGACCACACCAACTCCTCAGTAACTGTAACCCGAAGGGAAGGGAAAGAGCTTCTGAGGCCAAACAGAGCTCAGAGCCTCACGCTCTTCCCACAATTTCACTGTCACCGTCTAGAGTTGAGGAGACAAGAGCCATTCACTCTAAAGCACACCGTGTGTCCAGCTGAGACTTCTGTTGCTGGGACCAGGTGAATGGTGAACCAGGAGACTGTGGACTAGGCAGCCAAGTAGAAGCTTTGAGCAAAGGCAGAGAAATCACCAGATGCAGAGGTTGAGAGGCCCTTGGATTTCACTGAGAAGTGAGGCTGAACACGGTAAACTCAGTGTCAGCAATGCAGTGGGTAATGGAGCCACAAGCCCTGAGCACAGGACAAGGCTGAGGGACTAGGAGAGAGCCAAAGCAAGGACAAGACCCTTGTGGTCACCCACTGCTGGGTGCTAGCAGCTTAGATTAGGAGAGTGCTTCTCAAGCATGAGCCTCAAGCATCAGGCTCCCCCACAGAGGGCTTGTTAAGCCCAGGCTGCTAGGCCCTCCAATTTACACGTCTTAACAAGTTCCCAGGTGCTGCTGTTCCAGAGACCACACCATGGTACATACTGAAGTAGCATAATGGGATGGAGTTGCAAAGCAGACACAGGTGAAAGGGATCCAGGTGGCGGAAACAACAGGAACGCTCTTCATATCCACCCTCTGTGCATCCCCAGTGCTGCTGCCGTGTCATCCTTCTCTGCACCATTACCATGCCTGCTCATGCTGGGTCTCCTGTCCCTGGGTGCCCATCTACCCTACTGCCAGGCCATCTTTCCAAAACATTTGCCGCAGCAACTTTCCCTGGATCCTTATCAAGACCTAACTCCTAAGCATGGTGTGTGGAGCCAGGCTGGCACTGCAATCAGGGCACATCTCTTGAGCCAGGCAACTGGGATTGAAATCCAAGCACCAGCTGGGTGCGGTGGCTCACACCTGTAATCCCAGCACTCTGGGAGGCCGAGGCGGGTGGATTACCCGAGGTCAGAAGTTTGAGACTAACCTGGCCAACATGGTGAAACCCCATCTCTACTAAATAATCCAAAAAATTAGCCGAGAGTGGTGGTGGATGCCTCTAATTCCAGCTACTTCTGAATTAGGCAGAAGAATCTATTGAACCCAGGAGGTGGAGGAGCTGAGATCACAGCATTACACTCCAGCCTGGGCAATGAGAGCCCAACTCCAAACTCCACCTAAAAAAAAAAAAAAAAATCCAGGCACCTGAACCCCAACCTGTGACCTTGGGGCATGGCACTGAACTTCTCTGTGCCCCATTTCTTGTCTATAGAACAGAACTGCACCTACCTCAATGGTGTGTAAGGATTCCAGAAGTTACTAGAAGAGAGTGTTTGGAGCAGTGCAGACACACTGTAAAGGCTCAGGGTCTGTGGGCTGACACATACCCATCACCACACTCAGCCCCACAGCACAGGCTGACAGTCTCTCCAAATTCACCTTTCCAGTGCCCAGCTCCAACCTTCTGCTCAAGCCCTAAAACGCTGTGTGATATCACATCCCACTGTTTTGTTTTGTTTTTGCGACGGAGTCTCACTCTGTTGCCCAGGCTGGAGTGAGTGCAGTGGTGCAATCTCAGCTCACTGCAACCTCCACCTCCCAGGTTCAAGCGATTCTCCTGCCTCAGCCTCCCAGGTAGATGGGATTACAGGCGTGTGCCACCACACCCAGCTAATTTTTCTACTTTTAGTAGAGACGGGGTTTCACCAGGTTGGTCAGGCTGGTCTCGAACTTCTGACCTCAGGTGATCCACCTGCTTCAGCTTCCCAAAGTGCTGGGATTACAGGCATGAGCCACCACGCCCGACCTCCCACCCAGCTTTAAGAAGGGGCTGCATACCTCCCTGCCTCATTCATAGTGGGGATGTAGAAATGCAGAAATGTACCATCCTGGCTAACACAGTAAAACCCCGTCTCTACTAAAAAATACAAAAAACTAGCCGGGCGAGGTGGTGGGTGCCTGTAGTCCCAGCTACTCGGGAGGCTGAGGCAGGAGAATGGCATGAACCTGGGAGGCAGAGCTTGCAGTGAGCTGAGATCCGGCCACTGCACTCCAGCCTGGGCAACAGAGCAACACTCCATCTCAAAAAAAAAAAAAAAAAAAGAAAAAGAAAAGAAATGCAGAAATGTAGAAATGCAGAGTGAAAGGAGACCTTAGGGGTCATGGGAAAGTAGCCCTCACCAACTACAAAGGGTTCTGGATCATGTAGGTGAGAGTCCAGTGGAATAAGAAAACTAACAACAGCTGAGATGTGCCTTCTATGCATCTGCACAAGGCACTGTGCTTCCCAAATATTACCACATGTGCTCCTCGTATCACCCAGTAAGGAAACAGGCACTGTTACGGTCCCCTTTTTACACATGAAGCAGCTAAGGATTAAAGTTAAGTAACTTGCCCAAAGTCGTCCACACCTAGTAAACAGAGCCTAGACTTAAACCCGGGCAGTCTGACACCAAAACCCGCACCCTCAAATAGGTATGTTAGTGCCAGAATCAAATACATCAGTTCTAGAAACTAGCTGGAACACTGATGGTGATTTTTCAGGTATCTCAAATTTAGTGTGTTCCAAAAGGAACCCATGCCTCCTCCTTCTGCCAACATACACTCCATTTCAGGAAAGGGCCCCACCATCCTCCAGCCTCTCGTCCAGGATGCTCTCACTTACACAAGTGCACGAGGACAGGACTCGATTTACTTTGTACCTAGCTAAGACCTTACACAAAGCGGATGCTCACATTTATTGAAGGAATAAATGAGGGTAAGAGTGGGGTGCTGATGGCACCCCCGCCACTAAGAAAAGAGGAGCTGGGGTAGAGAAGTGGTCATTCCTGACTGGGGATGGTCAAGAGAGCCAGATGCTAGGGATTCCTAAAGTTCCAAGGTGAAAGGAGAAACAACTCATGTCAAGGTTATCTAGCTTCTTACCCTGCAAGAGTGATACCACAAAACCCAACGAGGGAAGGGAGAATAGAAACAGGAGCTGAGTGTAGTTTTAGAAAAGTGGGGTGTGAGATACCCAGGGAGAAAGGGCCGAAGGTAGCTGGAAACTCAAGAGTGAGAACTGGGATGGACGTAGAGATTTCAGAATGTGTGAAAACTTGGGGAAGCAGGTAGATAGAATCTGTAAAAGAGAATTTAAAAGAAACAAAGCTAGGATAACCTGGAGCTGTCACTTAGACAAAACCTCCTTCTTCAAGGAGGAAGAAGCAGTGAACAGCTGCAATGCACAGGCTGAGGAACTAAAAGGCAGCCAGTGAGCTCAGACACGGAAGTGGGACACGGTGACCTAAGCAAGTGGAAGCAGCAGCAAAGGAGTTGCAGTCCCAGCCTAACTGCACTGAGGATCAAGCTGGGCTGTCTAGAGGAAGCGGCACTGAATGGGGCCTAAAGCGACAGGAGGTGTCAGTCAAGAAACAATGTATGTGGGTGGGGTGGGCGGAAGGAAGAGGCATGTCCCAGACAAGCACTGTGTGGAGGTGGGGAGAGAACTGAGGACAACAAAGGTGCCGAAGAGAACAGATGGGAGACTGAACAAGTCAGACCGTAGACCAAGGAGGAGATTCAGGGTAGACCAGGCGTGAAGAAGGCCGTGAGGCTCAGGGGTAGTGACAGAGTATAGGACAGAGAGGTGACTGACAGGGTGGAAGTTGGGGGGGCTTCGGGGCTTTCTTCATTCTTATAGATTTATGATTTAAGGTCTACGTAACTATTCTCTTATTCTTAGAGGATCACCCCCACATAAAGCTATTATAAGCACTTCAGATACTGACCCCCCCAACTCTAGCAGGAGTATGACATTTAATTATGTATATTTATGGTATATATGTATATGATGTGCAGATGCTCCTTGACTTACAATGAGGCTAACTCCCAATAAATCTTAAGTTGAAAAATCCTAAATAAAACACTGTAAATTGGCCAGGTGCAGTGGCTCACGCCTTATAATCCCAGCACTTTGGGAGGCCGAGGTGGGCAGATCACAAGGTCAGGAGATAGAGACCATCCTGGCTAACACGGTGAAACCGGGTCTCTACTAAAAATACAAAAAATTAGCCGGGTGTGGTGGCGGCGCCTGTAGTCCCAGTTACTCGGGAGGCTGAGGCAGGAGAATGGTGTGAACC